ATATTAAACTTCTATATATTGTACCTTCACCAATGTAAATGCAGAGTATACTGACTACATATACTTCCAAACACTTAAAATGAGTCGTCTATACTTAACAAAAACAGGTTTTGGGGTTTTTTTTTTAAGTGCAATACAAAAGAAAGATTAAATGTTGTAATGAAATTTCAGTGGTTCTTCTTATTAACAGCTTTTAAAATTGCAGAAGTGTGTTGTGATTTTATTTTTTACCATGCAAGATTCTAAATTTACCATCATAAGAAAAATAATCTGGATTTTCCTTAAAACACTTACAAAATATAAATATTTTCCAACATGAATGGTTTAATAGATGTTTGCAGAATGAATTGATAGAACTGCAGGGGAGATTGGAAAAGGAGGTAAAATGTACAACCCTGGCTCACATTAGAATCTGTACTTTTTCCTAATTCCAATATTAAGGAACTCTATTGTCTACAGAACAGAAAAGAAGATTTAGAAACTGAACAAAGTCCTGAGATAAATTTCTTTCTTCTTAGAAAGTCTGGATTAAGCTTTCAGTACTGGCACTACATTTCTTCATTCAGTCAAAAATTTACAACACGTATTGAGCATTCATTAATAATGATAATAGATAATACCAATTTATAATTTTTTTTTTGCTAGCCCTATGCTTTGTGCTTGATTATCTCTGATTATCTCTGATTATCTCTCTGAGTCCTTACAATAGCCCTAAATTAGCCTCACTGCATAGCTAAGAAAAGTGAGGCACAGAAAGTGACATAAATTGTCCATGGTCACTTAGCAACTAAATGAATTCTAAATTGAATACAAGTCAGTCTGAGTCCAGAGTTCCATGTTTTTGGCTACTTCAGGACCCATTATAGGGTGTCCAAAGATGAAAAAAAAAAAAAAAGGCAGTACATCGATGATCTGCCATAGGGTTTATAGTGTCAGCCTCAAAAACTGTAAGAGCAGAGCGGGACATTTAGGCTGTCTTTTTACAGATGAGAAGTCAAGGCTTGTAAGTGAGGTGATTACTCAAGTCCATGGCAACAGTTTCCCAAATACACACATAACTCCCTGTGTTGTCTATTGTTCCAAATTTTTCACTCATTACCTGTAACTGAAAACCCTACGGAACTACCAGATCCCCATTACTACCATAGAAATGAGAAACCAGGCAGAAATGATTTTCAAACACGTAAATTTGTCTCCTTAGAAATAATCCTCACTATGACTTTCAACTGCCTTAAATTTTTGAAGTTGCATAGATTCATGCAAAAAAGCACTAAAATTGAATTGAGTAATTTAGAGTTAACTTTTGGTCTCTAAATTTTCTTTTATCTTTCCATCCCATCTCATCTGCTTCCCTGGGGCCATTAGAGATCATTATATTACAGGGCATCAGCAACTGATTCAACCTCCTTTGTAAGCAGGAGCAAAGGTAGGTCTGAGAAGTATAGAGAAGCACAGTGGAGCCCAATGACAGAGTAGAATAGAACAGGTAGAAGTCACAGCCATATAATGCAGTATAGTACCAGGCCTCCCACTTAACCACTTTGTACCTCAGTCTCTTCATCTGTAAAATGGGGTAATCTTGGTGTCTGTTTTTCTGTTTGCCTTGAAGATTACATGTCATAAAGTCTATTTCATACCACCTGGCACATGTATGTATTCAATAAACATGGCTATAATTCTTACAACTCAATTCTGGATCTACCCCTTATTCACCTTTGATTTTCTTGTGTATACTATGGCGGAATTAAATGTGATCATGTTTGTTAAAGTCTTGCTTAGCTCTCTATCCCTGGAGCTTCAACTCAAATTCTACCATTTCATGGAAGCCTCTAGTACTTGCTAGAGTAAGAATTAAAGATTCCTTCTTCTGTGCTCTCTTTCTGTAGCCTGATCCAGCCTGTCTCTTACTTTCTTTTACATTTGATTTTGTCTATATCCATAGCATAAAGTACTTATAGTGATGGATATTTGCTTTCTCTCTCTCACATCCTATATAGTAACCTTACACAAAGTATGTGCAAATGTGGGTCTTGCCCAGATGCATTTTAAGTAATGCTACTGCTATACACAAAAATATTTGAGAACTGTGATTACTGAGTTGAACTGAGTCCTCAAGAAGCAGTGAGAGTTTAATTTTTCTGTTTTTGTTTGTTTGGGGGAGGAAAGGGAGTAAAAAAAAAACTAGATTCATGGATTCAGTGTGAGGAAACAGACATTTCTCTAGAGAGTCAATGCGCAGCATAAATCTACCATTATCATCCTTATGAAAATCTCAGAGACAACCTAAAAACAAGCCATGTGCATTTATTTTACTGTTGACAGCTCTTGGAGACAAGGTGTGTTTGGCCTGGGCCCTGTCCATGTTCTGTGGTCAGAACTCCTGTTGGGTCTGGCTGTGGGAATGGCAAGAGGAAAGGGATATATGTGCAGGATCGGTCTCTTCCAAATGTTCAGAAAGTCTTTTCCAAGTCATATAGAGAAGGTCTTTTCCAAGTCATATAGAGAAGGTTTGTTACTTTGGCACCTGGTGCTAAGTTCAATCAAGGTCATGTGGACCTTGGAAGAAACTGTTAGTATGATCTTAAAGAATGAAAACTTTCTAGATCTAGGATCATTTCCTTTTAAACAGAGAAACCTATGTTATGGCAGGGCAAACAGAGAGGCAGGATGATTTTGTCATCTTAAGCCATCCTCTCATAATATGAACCACCTCCCTTCTCCTGATGCCTGAGGACTCTTAGGTTAGGATTTAACCTCAGTCTCTCCCAGTAAGTACATGGGCGTTTATATCCAATTTTTATATGCTTATAATTAAATTTGATCTTTTTCTCCTACTAATCTGTCTCGTGTTAATGTGTTTACTCATTCAGCCTGAGTTCGAGAAGCCAAGAGGGAGGAATTTTCTCCTACACCCCTAGACGCTCTTAAATCCTTCTGAGCCTCAGTTTCTTTCTCAAGATGATGGAATAATCATCTTACTCTCCTTGATGGAACCTCCCTAAATTGATTACAATGTAAATTTTTTAAATTGCCAGAACAAATGAGCAATGAATGTCAAGTGGGTGTAGGTGGTGTTGAATGACTGGATTCCAAAGCAGAGCTCAGTCACATTCTTTTTGCATAACATATAGAACAACAGCTTATCTTGATTAAGGATTTACAGTGTGTCAGGCAGTGTGCTGAGCATTCTGTGAGTATAAATTCATTCAGTTCTGCAGCCAACCCATGAGGTAGTCCCGTTTTACAAAGGAGGAAACTACAGTTGAAGGTGCTGACACACTCAGTGATGTTGCTCTTCTCTCTTCCCAGGACCCTCAGGGCCTAGCATGATGCACGTGCTCAATAAATATTTGTTCAGGATAAACTAATAAAATTTGAGCCTAGTTGAGAAGTACCTGTGTTTTTCCCCTCCTTCCAATTTCACCCCCAGCTCCACAAGTAAACACTTTTAAAGGTGTTTCTCCAGTTGGGAATTACATACTTGAAAATGCAATTATTTCATTTTCCCCTCATATTTATGATTTATAAATGAGTGTAAATACATTCTGGGTCATCGGGGTAACCATATCATACCAAGTACTGCCCATGACTTTAGTGTCTGTGTGCTGTTCCTTGAAGAACCAAGAATTGCCATGTCATTTAATATGGTAAATAAGAATCAAGTGCAGTTAATTACTAAATGATCTACTAGAATTGAGTGAGAGCCAAACATAGCAATGGCAGAAGGTGTGAACAAAGGAAGTGCCAGTAGTTGGACTAGAGGAAAGAAGTGAGAAAATCAGTAAAGTCAATAAATGGCACCAGGCACTCTGACAGTGCTGGAGTACCCCAGAACTCAGGTGTGCGCAGCCTCGAAGTGGGTTCCTACGATGGTGGTAGTGGGTAAGTTAACCGTGCCAAATTAAATTTTATTGTTGGGGGGCTTTAAATTTATTTCATAAACTTGGTTTGATTCCAGAGTTGTTGAAAAGTTGAAACTTAAGTAATTTTGTCCTTAAAATAGTGGAGATACTGACATTTGTACCAAAAGGGGCTTTCTCATTACAATCATATGCAAACAATTAAGAATAGCATTAACAACATAGTGTGAAACCATATAGGAGACCCTTTTTGAGAGTGAGAAATAAGGCTGGCAGAGACGCTCAGTCAATGGCAGCTTATTAACACTGACGTATTGGGGAAACAAGAAGGCTTTCCACCAAGTTCTGATAGCGGTTAGCAGCCTGGCTAGGCGAAAACACGCAGGAACGGGGCCCAGGGGTGACTCCCAGAAGTAGGCCACAGCTAGGAGGGGCCCCAGCAGCTGATGTCCCCGTGCGGAGAAGCTCCTGTTCACGTGCGCCCTCCGCTGCGCTGCAGGCGCCGCAAGAGAAAGTTGTAGGGAATGCACAGTTTCGGGGATCGTAGGTCCCCGGTTCTTTAGAGGCATCTGGGAGAGTGAGTGAGGCAGAAAGGAACTCCAACATCAAGCAACAGCTTTCAAAATGCAGGTGAAGTGGGTCACCGCAGGATTTTTCCGCCAACTCTTCAAGTGTGCGGAGGTGCTCCCGAAGCACCAGGTGAGCCCCCTCCCCCCCCAGTCGAAGTTGGGCGCGGGGGTGTGGACTTTGGGGGACAACAACGAGTCGTGTGCAGGCAGCGCCAGCCCTAGGCTCGCACGGGAGACGACGCCCCAGTTCTTCGACTCCCGGGGCTGGAAAGTGAAGGCGCGCGGGCTCTGCGGGGCTGGCCCTCCACGAGAGCGGGCGCGGGAGGTTCCCAGCGGCCC